TGATTATAGTGGATTGTTCTTCTCTACCTTTGGTTTTTTCCCGAATTGGGGTTTCACGTAAATTTCTTGTGTTCTTGTTTTCTTCTTCATTATTTCATTATTATCATTATCTTGCGATCCATTTCATAAAAAGTGGTATCAGAGCGCGAGGTTGATTGTTCCGCATGGTGACAATGAAGTATGACATTCCGTTGTTAGATAGAAATACGAGATTTACATTATGGCAAGTGAAAATGCGAGCGGTGTCGGCATAGATGGATTTGGAAGAAGCCTTGCTTGGCTTTGATAGGATGTCTGTTGCCTGGATGCAGGATGAAAAGCGGCGTTGGGATTGGAAAGCCCAATCTCAAATTCATCTACATCTCTCGAATCAAATTTTTTCATGATGTTCTTAAGGAGAATAGTGCCGATGCGTTCTCATTGAAGTTGGAGCAACTTTGCATGACTAAGAGCTTGTTGGACTTGAAACAACGCTTGTATTCTCACCGGATGTCTGAAGGCGTGTAATTGGATGATCACTTAACTATGTTCAAAGAAATTGTGGCTGATCTGGAGACATTGGAGGTTAAATATGACGAGGAAGACTTGGATTTAATGTTGTTGTGTTCACTGCTACCATCATATGTGACTTTTAGGGATACTATTCTCTATAATCGGGATACTCTCACCTAGAAGAGATCTATGATGCTTTATTATATAAGGAAAAGATAAGGCATCTTGTTGGAGGATTTGGAAATCATGCTGAAGGTTTGGTTGTGCGTGGGAGAAATCAAGATAGGAATCTTGGTAGAAATATGAGGGGCAGATCGAAGTCTAGACATGCTGAGAAGACATGTCACTACTGTAAGAAGAAAAGGCATATTAGAGCTGATTGCTACGCCATGAAAAATAGAAATAAAGCTATAGAGAAAGTGAAGCAACATGTTAATACAGCGGAGGCTGATATTGTAAAAGATAAGCAAAGTGGTGGAGAGCTTCTTGTGATTTTTGACGAGGATTCTAAAACTTGTAATGAATGGGTTCTTGACTCGGCTTGTACTTTTCATATGTGTCCTATCAGATACTGGTTTTCTACATATAAAGGAGTTTCGAGAGGTGCTGTGATTATGGGAAACAACACGCATTGCAAAATTACTGGAGTTGGTACAGTCAGAATCAGAATGTTCGATGTGGTTGTCAAAACACTTACAAATGCAAGACATGTTCCAAAACTGAAGCGA